GATCTTTGCTGGACAGTGAATTTCAAGCCCATAGGAATGCATTAATCGGGTTTTAATGCATTTCTATGGGCTTTTTAATTTCGCTTTACGATGTTTTCGTTCTACAGCGATTTCGCTGGAACGAATTAACATCATAATGCGAGGCACCACTGTATTTACTTTTCATAGGTACATATAAATGTGAAATGTAAATATTCATTTGGGACTCCATATGCAGCATGGAACTATGCAGAATAGAATCAAAACTCACCACCGCATGTACATACCATGACAATTATCTAATCTGCAGGATGTACCAAGTCTTGAGGCCATTTGTCTATGGCATGTTGCAGCATCACTGTATCATCTGAAATACATTATTCTCATCTATATGGAGACAAATTGGTGTCCACTTTTTTGATGTTGAGCTTGAAGCCATTTTTTGCACTCTCCTCTTTCACCCTCATTAAGAGGTTCTTTAAGTCCTCCAAATATGAACTATTTGAACATTGGGATTCCTTTATCTTACACTAATGACTGCAGATTGTTTTTGGCTTTCCTGTAATCATTATCTGTGTATAATGATGTAGGGGGAACCTACTTTATTCATTCTGCTCTTCTAAAGAATCTTTTGCTCCATTTGTTATGGTTATTCTGCATCTTAACTATGAATCTGCTGTTCATATCAGCCACAACAGGTATACCCATGTGTGGATACTCCACCAAGACAAATCATAAAGCACAGCAGAAAGATTTTAAGGAAAGGATGATGATTTGAACAAGTAATACATGCTGGGAATTGCTGCAAAGAAAACTGGACACAAATCTCCATAATTATATATGATATATATATGTAAAGAGGATACTGTTGTTCAGGAATATTTACACAAGCTCCACTAAAATGAAAGAAACGCAATTTCAATGGGTTTTGAAAAAAAACATAGTTTTATTAAGTGGCATTCTGTGCTGTCAATTAGTAATTTGCTATTTATAATGATGCTCAACAACATTGGTTTGATCTTCATAGCATTCTACCAAGGACTCGCCCTTGGACGGATGGGCTACCACTTTTAATTACTATCTATTGTTCAGTGGCTAGAAATGTAATCTGTTCAGAACTGTGTTTTAGTTGAAGCCAACTGACTCATTATTACCCTTAGGACATAACGTGGGCATGTACTGAACGTCTTCTTAGACATCAGCTAGATTCATCTTCTGTCTCTTTTTACAGGACAAAAAATGCCATGACATTTATAGGATCACTGATTTTTCTCTCTCCCTTATACCTGCTCACTTGCCCACTTATAGCTATCACAACATTTGCCCTGCTTAAAATGTGTGGTGCACGAGAGAGAAAGAGACTGAGGGAGATGGGTGGGGAAGGGAGTAGCATTTTCCTAGTTTACCAAAGCTACCCTGCCTAGTCCTCTGAATTCATATTTCAGCCATATTTCTTCTTATAAACTGCCACGGACAAGAGGATTCTAGGTTACAGCAATGTGGAATAAAAAAATAAGAAAAAAGAATTACAACATCAGTGTGTTCCCATCTTGCAGTGTGATGCACAGAATGGCAGAATGTAGGGCTATGGTCAATCAGTCTGTATAGCAATTATTTCTTAAATAAATGACAGTCCTGACAAGACGAAGCCAGCTCTACAATCAGGCGAGCACATTTAAATCCCCTTGCTCAAATTAAATGCTGATCTGGAAAAAAAATCATGTTGCTCACTATTTCAGACTTGAAAATACAAATACTTTTCTTCCAGGGGCTGAAGATGCTTGTTTTAAAGCCACTCGCATCAGATGCTGCAGAATAAAACAGAAAAGAGGGTGGCGGGTAGGAAGAGGGTTGTTCTGTTTACATTTAACTAATAAGAATCCTCCTGGGAAGAGTGGCAGCTTGCTAAAAATAGCTTCACTGAGAATACTACTGTCAAGATATTACACATATCTGTTGTGCCTGGAGAAATACTGAGGGAATGGATTCTCAGCCATTATGCAAAATAAGAGTAGCTAATACTGTGGAACGAAGTACAAATGCTTCTTGTAACAAGAGGTTTCTTATACTTGTAATCCAAAGACTTGGAAGTGGTCCTTAAGAGCAGTGGTTCTCAGCTGGTACTATATGTACCACAGGTGGGACATAGAAGTAATCAATGTGGAACACAGGGTTTTTGAAACAGCTACTAATATTTAATAGAAGTTTTATTCTCATTTTGAGTTAATAGTAAAATTGATGTTCTTGTTTGTGCGTACTTTATAACTGGAATACAAACAGCTTATTTCTGTGTGGCTAATTCTTAGGTCACGCATAACATATCAGATCACTTTGTGTGAGAGAAAACTTGAGAGCAAAAAATACACTTTTTGAACACACACAGTGGTACCTCGACTTACGAACGTCTCCACTTGTGAACAATTCGAGTTACGAATGGCTCCATTTGCAAAAAGTTGCTTCGACTTGCAAACAGAGCCTCAACTTACGAGCGAAAAAAAAGAAAAAGAATAAACCTTTCCTGGTGAAAAAAAAAAAGAAAAAGAATAAACCTTTCCTGCTCTTTTTTGACCTTAGTTCATCTTAGGTCAAAACAATAAAATTTTTTAAAAATTCACCCCTAGGGGTAGAATACAGATTAACCGGCTTTGCATTATTTTTAAAAATTCACCCCTAGAGGTAGAATACAGATTAACCGGGAACTAATGCCTCTACCTACGAACAGTGCCTCGACATACGAACGAAAAACAGCCTCGATGGATTAAATAGTTTCCAATGCATTCCTATGGAAAAGTTTGCCTTGACTTACAAACTTTTCGACGTACGAACACCGTTCCAATATGGATTAAGTTCATAAATTGAGGTACCACTGTATTTCAGGCCTAAGGAGCTGTGAGAATGGAGATACTCCAAACTTCTTTGGAGAGATCATTTTCTGGCTCCGGGACAAATGTAATGAGTATCTTGTTCCACACTTGTGTCGTCATTGGACCTTTGAGTACCATAATGTCAGTCCACTCGGCCCTGTTTTGAACTACAGCTCCTCCCTTGAAGAACCACAGTTAAGTCTCTGACAAACATCTAAATCGTACTTAGGCTATATTTAATCGGATTTTTAATTGAGGCTGTTCTCTGTTGGCCAATATTCTGTGTAGAGAGCACTGCTGTAAACAACCCTTTTCCTCCACCCCTTAATACACTAAATGAGTTTAATGTGATTTCCCCCCAAAATAAAGGATTTATTGCTGTTTAATGAAGGCAAAGTTTTATCTCCATTATATAGCCTCAAAATATCACCTGGTTCAATATAATTTCCTGTTGAATGAAATAATCTGTTAAAAGTAAATTTCTTAATTGACTTTTTAAAAACTCCATCAATTAGCAACACTAATTATCTACCAAAGCATTATCTTCAAACCTTAAAGACTTATGCATTGAGGCACATGCAAGAGAAAGCATAAGAAATTGAAGCATTTTACTGTTTGGCAAATATATTAAGGCACAATAATATGTGAATGACAAGAGAGCCTTCTACCTTTGTGCACCATTGTTCTGTCCAAGGTTCTTTAATATGCAAAATTTGCGTAAATCTGGATGTCAGTTTTCAGGCGAAAATAACCCAAAACGAATAGAAGCGGAATTTAAACAAGTTGATTCATGAAGCCAGAAAAAAAGTTATTTGCCCAGGGTGGGGGTGGGGGCAGGCTGTGTAAGCGGCAACATTCAAAAGAGCATGTAATTAAGAGCTGTAAAGGGCTTCAGTTGCAGCACTATGAATTACAGATCACTGGCCTCTAAAATGTGAAAGCTATCAATTAGATGAAATTAATCAAGCTGTAGGCTCTCTGTTCATTAAATGTGTGAAACCAGAATTATCTCCTCCTTTTCCAGGAGCCTGGAATTAGTTTCTAGCCATGGACACTGCAGGCAGTTCCTCTATGTAGTCAAACATTCCACTTAATTCCATTATATGATCATGGACTATATATCATCACTAGGTAAGAGGCCTGAATTACAGTTCAACCAATCTCAGCGTGGTAAAGCCATAAGTTAGGTACTCTTAAATTCTATGATTTCACCTACTTCTCCGTGCTTAACTCTCCCAATGAAATGACACAGGGACTATTTCCTCATAGCTCAATGCCACTACATTGCTCCCGGACACATACAAATTGATTTCATGCAGCCAAGTGATGTGGTCACGTCTTATAGATATCACCTAAGTAAGAGGGGAGTGGACCACAAGATAACTGGCCCTACATTGCTTCTAGTTATTTAAGCCTTGTGAAATTGAGAGAGAGTTGATAGGCTGAAAGGTGGTACCATACTTGCAGGCCAGTGCAGGTACACAAAGCAGCCGAATGCCACAAACAGCAATGACCACAAGCTAATGCAGCTCTTTATTCGATATAAGGACCCAAATCCACTTATCTTACACTGAACAGGAATCACAAGTACATTGCTATGCCAACAACATAAACATCATTTTCAACAGTACACTTGCTGTCTTATGAAGATAGGGTCCAATATAAGGACCCAAATCCACTTATTACACTGAACAGGAATCACTGGTACATTGCTGTGCCAACAACATACACATCATTTTCAACAATACACTTGCTGTCTTATGAAGATAGGGTCCATAGCTTGATAGTCTGTCTTCTGCCCCCCCCACTGCCCTGGGTTTCCTCTCCCCTTTTGCTATTGCTTGGCATCTAGCCTGTTGAAGAGACCTGGGTGCTTGCACTGTATTTTGAATTGGCGTAATAAAAGTACTGTACTACCCAATGGATGTATGTTTTTTTGGTCAATACAAATATGCTCCTCTTATTTGCATTTTAATGTCCTTGTAAAAATGATTCAACCCTATTTTCAAAAATGATTGATGACATTTGACCAAGTCCTACATAACTCATCAATATTAATATCGTAAGCCAACAATCACTTTCCAATAGTCGCGGCAAATTTCTAGCCCTGGACATCTGACAAGTGTCTGTCAATTGTACCTACCCTATGAGGGGGTGATGCTTATGTAAATTAAACTTACCTTGCTTACATACTTTGACATTGTATAACAGTGTGTCTGGGGAAAGTGAACAGGCTGAACCTGCAAAACAACAAGGGACTGGATATCAATGTATACAATTTGGTGTCATCATTAGAAAATCCTTCCTGCCGGTCACTGTGGCTAGCACCAGTGAGAGAAGACCATAAATGCATTAAGAACACTAGGATAGCTTTCCCATGAAAAAGGCAAACTAATACATAACATATCAAAAAACAAGTGGTGTGCAAAATGAACTCCAGATAAATGATTAATTATTTCCCTTTGCCCAGAAGATCATTAATATTGATAAGCTCATTTACAGCATGGATGTTTACAAAATGCAACGTGTACAGATATTTGCAAAGTGCATTTTAAATTCTATACATGAGAAGCTGTGCAAAGTTTCTTGCCAGGCAAGATTCCAGTGGGACAACACTTGCTGAGAGAGATTTCTCTGCTGTTCTAGCCGCTTACAGGGACTGACAGTTTGAACGGCTGAATCAGATGACAAAAAATTCATAACTGCTGCTCAAACGTTCTATTCCCTGGATGTAATATGTGCGGTGGGGTCCCTCAAGATTCTGTCTTGGGCCCTTGCTCTTCAACATCTTCATAAATGACCAGGGTGAGAGGATTGAAGGAGCACTCATCAAATTTGCTGATGACACAAAGCTGGCGGGGAATTGCTGATACTTTGGAAGATAGACTCAATATTCATAAGGATCTAGAAAGACTTGAACATTGGGCCCTATCCAATAAGATGCAGATCAGAGGTGGCAAAAGTAAGGTCCTGCACTTAGGCAGGAGAAACCAGATACACAGGTACAAGATAGGTGGTACATGGCTCAACAGCAGTACCTGTGAGAGGGATTTAGGTGTCCTGGTGGGCCACCGCCTAAGGATGAGTCAGCAGTGTGCTGCAGCTGCCAAAAAGACTGAGAGGAGATATGATAGCAGCCTTCCAATATCAGAAGGGTTGCCACAGGGAAGAGGCATCATTTATTCTCCATTGAGCCTGAGGGTAGGACAAGAACCAATGGGTGGAAACTCGTCAGAGGGAGATCCAACCTGGAAATAAGGAGGAGTTTCCTGATGGTGAGAACCATTAAGCAATGGAATAGCTTGCCTCCCGATGTTGTGTGTGCCCCATCACTGGAGGCTTTCAAGAAAAGACTGGACAGCCATCTGTCCAGGATGGTATGAGGTCCGGGATGGCATGACGTCTCCTGCCTTGGGTAAGGGGTTGGACTAGAAGACCTCCAAGGTCCCTTCCAACCCTATGATGATTCTATTCTATGATTCTATAATAGAGCAGTCCAGAACCAAAGCAAGTAGGTCACCAAGGCTCTTTCTCCCCTTCTGTCCTCTCTTTTCTCTCTCCTCGCTCTGCTACTATTTTTCCCTCCCTCTGTTTCCACCAATCCATTTTCTTTCCCTTTTTCAGACTCAGTCTTTTCTCTCCACTTCCCTCTGAAGTCTGAATTAATCACTTGTGAAAAGACTAACAAGAAACCAAACCTCTCCAGCACTAGGACCAACCCTACCACCAGACAGAATGAGGAAACTGCCTCAGGCAACTGATGTTGGGGGCCAGAGGTAGTCATATCCTCAGCTGCTGACTATTCGTCTCTATGGAAGGGCTACAGCCAGGAAGAAAACATCCAAGACAGCCTGTAATCACATATGAGAGTTTATTAGTGATGCAGTGAAGTGAATGAGACAGTTTTTTGGGACCTGTGAAATCAGATTCAAAGAAATGTTCTGCTTAATACCCAAGGACCAACAAAAAAATACTGTAAAGCAAACTAGTTTGCATATTCTTGGAGGTGAGAGGGTTTAGCAATCAGCTTTAGCAATCAGCTATGAGTTATCTCTAAAATCTGCTTCAGGCCTGAGTTGTGTATGTCACAAAAACTGTCCTGCGTCCTAGTCTAAGCTACCTGTTGCATCAGTTATCGTTCAAGACATTATCCTGTAACTAGCACTGAAGTGAGATTCTACTGCCAGCCCAGCTTCAGGTCAGCAAGCTGGCAAAGATCCTCAGGATTACTCAAAAAAAGTAAATAAATTAAAGGAAACCAGTGCCAGATCTGCTAGTTGTGGAAGTTGTCTACATTTATCTCCAAGCTACACATGAATTTTCAATGGCAGTCAAATCTAAAAAGGAGACTTACTCTCTCTAGTCAATCCACTGAGCCATTCAATACCACAACATTCATCGTCTCTAAATTCAGCACCAGTTTATTCACCCACACACAGTTTATTAATAATCTCCAGCATGATTTCAAGGTCATCAGTGTCCCAACAGGAGCAGATGAAAAGGAGAAAACAGAGCTAGGTACAAGCACCACACCAATTGTATTGCCTTTCATAATGCTGGATGATTGAGTGGCCCAATACTCTAGGGCTATGAATTTTATTCTGCTAGGGGGAGGAGAGAAAAAGAAGAGGTAACCACCATATCAATATAATACAGCTATTATGAGACAAAAAAATTAACAGATACATGTCTTTTAAACAGCATACCACTTCCTCTCATCTTTTTTTTTTTTTGGGCCATATCATTTTAAATATATGCTAGTGCACCTTTAACCTTTGCTGAGGACCTCCTACAGAGAGAAACACAGAGAGACAGCTCTTTGCCAACTCTATTCACCCACATGAGGAAACGACCTCATGTCTCACATGGCATACCCTGCCTTTGAGAGTAACCTGGCAGTACACAGACAGCAGCGCTATTATCAGTAATAACTAACCCTGACTGATAGTGTACATATCAGTCAAATGAAAGGTGATTGGAAAGCAGATGAACCCTGTCTAGAGCAGAGGTCGTCAACCCCCATTCTGTGGCCTGAGCCGGACTGGGCTGCAGAGACAGACCTCCTGCCCCCTGCATGCGCTCCCCTCCCCACAGCTGCTTTGCGCGTGCACACATGTGCCAGCGCCGGCATGAGTGCTCCCCCACTCCTTTACACATGCGCCTGTGCAAAGGGGTGGGCAGGCACGCGCTCCTGCGCATGCGTGAAGGCGTGGGGGAACGTTCACGCTGGCGCTGGTGGGCACACGAGCACTCCCCCACCACTTCGCATATGCGCCTGAGAGTGCGTGCACGCCCCCATGCGCCTGCGTGAGTGCAGGGGGGTGCCCCACCTTCCGTTGTTCTAGAGCAGCGGTCCCCAACCTTTTTGGGACCGTGGACTGGTTGAGCCTCTGAGGAAGGCAGGGCACCCCCTCTGCACACTCTCTCGGGCACATGCACGAAGCGGTGGGGGAGCGCAGTCTCGCCCGTCAGCACCAGCATGGAGTGCTCCCCCACCCCTTCATGCATGCACAGGAGCACCTGCCTGTGTGCCCACCCACCCCTTCATGCGGGTGCTTGGGCGCATGCATGGAGTGGGGGAGCGCTCACGCTGGTGCTGGCACGTGCGTGTATGCACAAAGCAGCTGTGGGGAGGGGAGTACATGTGGGGGGGGGAGGTCTGTCTCCGGGGTTGACGACCTCTGTTCTAAATACTTTAATGCGTGTATGGACAAAGCAGCTGTGGGGAGGGGAGTACATATGGGGGGGAGGTCTGTCTCTGAGGTTGACGACCTCTGTTCTAAATACTTTAATGAGGAACATTTCTGCTTCTGTGGTGATAAGGTGCATAGTGCTTGTCTTCTGCTCCCCAAGAGAATAGGAGCTTGAGGCCTATCTCTGCCATACTGCAAGCAGCTACAATCTAAGGTGAGAACTGGAAAAACAAATACCCCTCCTACACACAACCCCTCAACAAAACCTGATGTAATGTTTTCCAGGCACAGGAAATGCATGTCCTCTTAGATGTCACCAAAGTCCAAATGCCATCCATCACCACTGGTTATGCTGGCTAAGTTATCGGTTATAGTCCAACAGTGTTTGCAGTTCAGCAGTATGTGCTCCACTTTTAATGAAGAGCAGAAGTACTAGAGTCTTTCTCTACTGCCTGGTCAGATGGCTACGTATCGAATCACTTGCATACTTCCTTGAATGCTATTTGCACACCAGGATGGCATCTTTATTTTATAGCACTTCCACACAGCACTGGAGGTAGGTATAATATTTGGTGCCATAGACTTCATAAAGTGACTTATGATGGGGAGGGGGGCCAGTGCTGCACAACTCCTTCTACAACTGATCTCAACATGGTTTGCTGCCCTGTATTTCAAATTCAACATTCTCCTGATGTTTCAGAATTACTTCCTTCTTTGGACTCATTGCTGGGAATAATTTGAATCCCATTTCATTATCATTCCAAGAAGTGAATGCTGGTCACTGTAGTCAAGTAGAATTTCTTTTTTACAGGTAGTGTGTAGTTCTTTAAATATGGGCTGCTTTAGACAGACAAAGGAAGGTTACTGGTTAGTTGAGATGGGCATGAACCTTGTTTCAGAGGTGCATAAATCCCTGGCCCACCTCCTTGTCTGAGCGGGTGGCTGCCAGAGGAGGCGGATGAGGGAAGAACGGCTGCAAATGGTGAGTGGGCAATCACACGGAGGAGGCAGGGAGGGAAGTACACATTGCCTGGAAAACTGGTGAGCATGTAGAGGAGGTGGGAGGGGGAAGTATGCAGTGCCCACATAGCACCTAAAACCACCAGCCAGGCCATAGTTTTTCCTAAATTTCAGCATGTTTTGAAAGTGAGACAAGCTACATGCAAATCCATCCCTAAATATCTATGCATGCTCAGATGCAAGTCACATACAGAGCACTCTTCCCCAGTACTTTGTGGAACTTTTAATGAACTCCAACCCCTTCGGTATTTGCTTTTCCTAAGCACTGCACTGATCAGTTCTGTCTGCAGGAGTGTTTGTATGAAGAGAAACTCTTCCGTAAATTGTTTGGTGAAATGTTTTGAATAGTAATGAGCCAGAATCAAAGAAAATGGTATCTTTGTTGCCTCCGTCTCTTGCTTATGAATTTATTTCTTTATCAAGACTTCTGACCTTCATTCTGCCTCTTAGTCTAGCCTCCCCTAAACTTGTACCCTTTATATGTTTTCATCTCCAGCCAACATAGTGATTGTTGATGGAAGTTATAA